TCTCAGATATGCAGGCTAATGAACATAATGTAAAAATAAAAAAGGGGCATCTATTTCGAATATGAGTATTCACTATTATAATGTTTGAAGTAATAGTTTACAGTGTATTTCAAAAGAAAATCATTTATAATTTTATTTAAAATAAATCCTCTATGAAACAGTTTGGGTTTTTGCAAAAGTTTCCAGCATTTTTTTTTTTTTTTTTTTTTTCCAACAAAATTCTTTTATTTCTATAACTTCATTGTCTCCTTAAACAATCATCCAAGTATTTTCGGCAAACTTGGACTTTTTGTGCCTGCAAAAAAAAAAAAATGAATTTCAAAAGGATATTTTTTTTCCTTGACACTGCTTCACTCCCCGGCAAATGTTTTAAAAAGCAATAATTAGGATTGTAGTAAAATATAAACATGATGAAAGTGAATTTTTTTTTTCATCAGAATTTACAACAAAAATATTAAATGCTATTTGTTATTATAAAAATCCAATTTTGAGTATATGTTTATATTTACAATATTCTAAAAACTAATACAGTTAAAACTGATACAATGCAATGTTTATCATTTATCAAGAAAAAAATATGAAAACAATTTTATTCCTAAATTTATAAACATTTACTAAATTATTAAAATATGTGAATCAACTATAAGGAAATCCTTATTTATTATTTTATAATGTTTGAATTGATTGTCAATTAGTTGATGTTTTGCCAACCATTCCAATAAACAATTTAAAAAATAGTGTTTATTTTGGTTGTTAATTATTATGTACAAAGAAAATGTATAAATTCACTTTCATGTGTTTAGATTTTATTAAAATCCTAATCACTTTTTAAAAAATGATAAACATTGCTGAGGAAGTGAAGGTAGTTAAAACAATAGTGGTGTTAAGGGAAAAATTGTCCTTTTCACACACATTTTTTTTTTTTTTTTTGCAAGCATGAAATTCTAAGTTTACTGTATTTTTTTTAGTTTTCTTATGCCAAATTTCATGTAAAGTGTCTATTCAATAATCAAAGAATGATTCTTGTTTTGATTAATTTTTTGATATCCTTCTTGAACTGTTAACCAGACAAGGAATGTTACATGGAACAAAACGAACAAGTCTTAAAGACAGATTTGAAGAACTTCTCATTTCTGATTGTTCATACACCTTACACATCTTTTGAACAGTAGAGGTTTATCCCTTAGATAATATTTAAGACTGGATCTCCAGTTCCTTCTTCTAAAGCCTTCTCATTTTCTATCAACCTCAGTAACCTTCATTGCATTTTTTTTTAAACTAATGTTCACCCAAACAAGGACCAAGAACCACTCAAGTTGTATTAGTGTGAGAAAGGACAAGCATTAGGAGTATATAGCTGAAGTAGACTTTAGAAGAAAACAGAATCCCAATCCTAAACCAGAAACTAGGGATAAACCTCTACTCCTGTTCAAAAGACCAGGGAGGAGTGTAAACCAGATGATAGGTGAACCTATCTACTTTTTTCTTTTTTTTTATAATGGGCAATTGGTTTGATTTGTTTAATGGCATATCAACTCCTTATGGATCATTTAATGCCAAAATTTAATTTCCCAGGGAGCTTTAATTGTTTTTTCTTTTTTTTACTACTATTAAAATCTATTACTGAAAATTTTTACTATAAAAACATATTTTTATACTTTTATAGTGTTTTGACACCAGTTTTTTTTTTGGGGGGGGGTCACTATTTGCCCATAACTGGGACCCTAACAGATGCTGCTACCCCAAATCAGTAATTAAAAGGTGGTACCACACTCCTCAAAACCTCCTCATCAGAGGTCTTGCTGCTGGATTTAGTTTCTCTTGCATCTGAGTGGCATTATTGTATTTGCTTAGAGTGGAATGGTTTAAAAAAAAGATCATTACATTTGCATCTGGACATAGGTGATGTCATACAGAAAAATTACTGATTGAGACTCTTACCCAGAAATGCATCATTCAAATGAAATGATGGCACCTTTTAATTTTTCTGCGTGTTCACGTGTTATTTGTATAATATTTTTTTTCAATGTTCTTTCAATTCATCAATTTTCAAATTCTGGGTCCGTTCAGAGTATTTTTTTCCCAGAGATTAAAATTTTCTATTCTAGTCATTCAATGATCTTTCCAATATATGCTTGCACCTGCTGCATGATTTCAATAAGTTTCAATTACCTTGCTTCCACTGCACTTTTTCCCCAGATTAAACAGTATCAAAGGTGTATTTTATATTCAGAATATTTTTTTTGAAAAATCTATAACAAAGTAGAAAAAAAATTTTTGTGTGACATGTTTTGTCCTTTAGGATTTTGTAGGGAAATTATTAATAAAAATATAAAATCCTAATAATAATCATAAATAAAATAAAACAAAAATTAAAACTTGGCCCAAAATAAAATAAATAAAACAAAATAATAAAAGTTCTCCCAGCATTCAACAAAAAAAAAAAATACCAAACACACTCTCTTCATGATGGATTCTCAAAGGGTAAAGTCATCCATTTCTTCACCTCAGCACCTTGTTTGTCATAAGACAAAGTGACTTTCTTTCTCTATTGCATGCAAGCATAACAAAAACAAATTAAATAATACAACAGAACCTTTTTTCCGTTTTGAATAGTAATGACAAATTAAATAATAATTGTGTATTAATTTCTTTTTATTTTCAATTTTAAAATATAAAAAATGCTTTATTTTTATTAATTTGTTCTCTTAATTTGTCATTGCCTAAAGTTCTTTAGGGGTGGGGTATTCTTTCTTTGTAGAAAAGGGGACAAATTAAAAAAACATTAAATAATTTACCAAGTTTGTGCATTAATTTTTTTTTATTTTCAATTTTTAAAATATAAAAAATGCTTTATTTTTGTTCTCTTAATTTGTCATTGCCATTTGAAATGGAAAAAAGGTTCTGTTGTATTATTTAATTTGTTTTTGTTATAAATAAAACTACACCTCCCCCAAAATTACATTTCTTTATGGCAGTGCATAGTGATTTTCTGCAAGGAAAGTCTGTAAAAGAAGTAAATAGGTCCAAATTTTATGACTCTGCCGAAAAGTATGCCACAGTGAATTACTTCTCAATAAGCCAGTAATGGCTGATGAGAGACCGACAAGAAGTCCGATTTTTTTTTTGTCGATAACTCCAAAATGGTAAGGTTTCTTCATAATTTAATTGTTAATTTGAGTTCAGCAAGTAAATTTGCATGGAATTATGACAATTTTTGAAAATTCTAAGAGAATTTTAGTGCTCGGGAAATAAAACCAACAGTAAATCTTTGTTTTCTTTCCTGAGCACTAATATTCCATCAAATTTTTTCAAAATAATCATATTTCCGTGCAAATGTACATGCTGAACTCAAATCAACAATTAGATCATGAAGAAACCTACTGTTTTGGATGTTAATGACCAGAAAAAAAATTGGACTTCTTCTCGGTCTTTCGTCAGCCATTACCGGCTTATTGATAAGTAATTCAGTGCTGAATTTTGTTGGACATATACAATTTGGGCCTATCTACTTCCTTCACAGAAATTCTTTGCAGAAATCAGTATGCGCTTCTGTAAAGCGATTTAAAAAAATTTTTTTTTTTTTTTTGTACTTAATTTCAGAAGAAAGTCAACTTTCAAATATATGTAAATATTGACAAATAAAAGAATAAAGTAATTTTGGTAAATTTTTATTTTAACACCTGTGCTCTAATATCCCTTCAAATTTTTCCAAAATAGTCTTATTTCCATGCAAATGTATATGCTGAACTTTAATCAACAATTAGATATTGAAGAAACCTACCTTTTTGGATGTTAATGACCCGAAAAAAAAATCGGACTTTTTCCTGGTCTTTCGTCAGCCATTACCGGCTTATTGATAAGTAATTCAGTGCTGAATTTTGTTGGTGGGCGTATACAATTTGGGCCTATTTACTTCCTTCACAGTAATTCCTTGTAGAAATTAGTACGCGTTTCCATAAAGCGATTTTTTTTTGTACTTAATTGAAGAAGAAAGTTAACTTTCAAATTAGGGTTAGGTGTTTTTTTTTTTTCTTTTGTTATTCTTTTATTTATTGATGTTTACATATATTTGAAAGTTAACTTTCTTCTGAAATTAAGTACAAAAAAAAAAAAAAAAATAATATCGCTTTACGGAAGCGCGTGTACTAATTTCTGAAAGAAAATAGTTCAGCAGTGAATGAATTTACTTTTTAGAAGATCATGAAGAAACCTATCTTTTTGGATGTTAACGAGCAGAAAAAAAATCGGACTACTTCTCGGTCTTTTGTCAGCCATTACCGGCTTATTGAGAAGTAATTCACTGCAGAACGAATAAAATTTGGGCCTATTTACTTCCTTTACAGAATTACTACACGCTTCTGTAAACTGATTTTTAAAAATTTTTTTTGAAGTTAACTTTCAACTATATGAATTTTTTTTTTTTTTAAGTGAACTTTCAAATGTATGAAATTAAGTCATAAGTGTAGTTACTTAATTTTTTAAGCTGTAAGTTAACTTTCAGATATATGAAAATATCGACAAATAAAAGTTTAAAAAGAATAACAAAGCAAGTTGTACAGTAAAGCATTTCTTTAATAGTTTAAAAAAAAAAAAAAAAGTTCCATATCTATGGAAAAAAAATGACATTGATAATTTTTGAAAAATGAAAAGTTTGAAGGGATATTAGCGGTCGGGAAACAAAATGAAAATTTATAATGAAGTAGTTTTAGGATCCTGGACACAATCTGCTCGCCTCTCTCAGAAAAAAGTGAAGGCGCTTTGTTTAGGGATTGCATTTAAAAACAGAAAACGAGCAATATATTGTTTTAAATAAGCAGTTCTGTGTCCCAGTCTTTTAATTATACCCTTAGTCGTCCTCCACATTCTTTCAATCGTTTGTGTATAGATATTTTGGTCTGTTGGATGTACAAAATGTTCACTATTTGCTTGTGCGTGTATCCGTGTTCCGATATCCGCACATACGCCGACCAGCAATCACTGTAATTGATCCTGGTCGAATGTGTCGCATAATTGGGGGGAGGGGGGACAAGTGTTTGGGCATCCCTGGCTTCTCCTTCTCCGCAATCAGACGTAAGTGGTACTAGAAATGTCTTCTTCGAGACTTTCGATTCCGCCAAATAGCCAGACCGTTTTCAATCAACGTCCCCGGTTATATTTTCGTTTTGAGATAAAAATATTTCGTCGATTTCTACCTCGACACCGGGTCCACCTAACTTCTGCACATTTCCCAGCCAAAACTGGCACACCTCACAGCGCCAATTCACTGAAGTCACTTTCGCAATGTCCAAGTTTTCGAACATTATCCTGTGGCACCCACTAAGATCAAGGAAATGTGTTACAAAAAGTAGCACTTTCCACGCAGGCAAGCGTGACTTCTTCAAAACTTCAAAAGTGTATTTTTCCTATCACCAACACTGAAGCCACATTCTGTTCTCCGGCTGTTAGGACGATTCGAACTGCTAGGACTGAAGACAGGTTTTCTGCAACGCCATACTTTCAGGTTGGCACGCAACGAGCAAGGTGAATGGCATCGAGGGCATTCCACGGAAGACGGTAATATTCCGTGTAGTCGAAGAAATTCTAATTGTTGATTTGAGTTCAGCATGTACATTTGCACGGAAATTACTATTTTGGAAAAAATTGAAGGGATATTAGCGCTCGGAAAAGAAAACAAATTCACCTTGTGATTTTTTTTTCTTAAAAAATACAATGTTTTACAATTTTTTTTCATTTGTGCAAAAATTCAGTTAACCAAATAATGCAACTGACATGAAATAATTAAAAAATAATTTTAGTAATACTGTTGTAATTGTCTGATTCAAAATAAAAGACATTCCTATAGCTGATAAATGTATTGTAATGTTTAGTTTTGGTACGACAGTGACGATCAAACTCACAAGTCAGTAACAATAATCTGTGTAGGTAAAGTATTGCTTGCTAATAATCATTATTCCCGGTGAGGTTCGGAACTATTTGAACTGATCAAACAAAAACATATAAAATAAATGATTTGGAAAGATTATAATGCGCATGCGTGAAGTCAGCCCCCCCCTCCTGCCACTGATAGTTGTTTTATTTTTACGTATTTTGTCATAAAATATTTAAAAGCATTGCAAATGCTGAACCGATTAGATTTCAAGTAAAAAATAACATATGAAAAATAAATGTTTTATTTTAATAATTGTGCATGTACCTCTTTCAACTATTTATCATTTAAAAAAATTAATACGAAACTCTTCTTCCGATGACAACGGAAGTGACATTAGCTTTGGTTGGTTTTTAACTTGCTCGGTCTTTTTTAGTATTCGGATTAGGAGCGTGTGGGTATGTTATTTGTTCTGTCTATTTATCTCGTTTCATCTGAATTTTTATTTCCGGAAATTTGCTTTATTTGACATTTTTTGAAAGTAATATGCTTCTGTATTTCATTTTCTATTGTTATTTTTCTTGACAATGGCATGTTTTATGAAAATTATAGCTTGAATTGATTACGGTTTGAGTTTCCCCATTTCTAACATGGCGGTCTTCGTTATTTGTGGGACACGTGGTGGTTAATTTAATGTTAGCTATATAAAGTTTAACAATTCGCAGAAAGTTTATGCCATTTGAATTATTTTTTAGCGATTTGTAAAATTTCAAGTTTTTGAATGTCTGTGTATTTGAGTATCTGCATTTTCCACCTTGATTTAATGTTAAAATGTTGGCAATCAATCGTCATCTTGAACATTTTTATTTTTTTAAATACATGGCTTGTGATATTTAACGTGTGATATATTTTAAATCCCACCATTAAACTTTTATTTAACATTCACTTAGAATAGTTTATTGTAAGTATTTTTCAAATGCTTGTATCGATTTTCATTTTTTTAAAGTTGTAATCGTATAGACTTAAGTTTGGTTTCGTTAATTTTATAAAAGGCGATATTGATCTGTCTTTTTATTATCGAGGGGAAAATTTATTTTAACTTGGTCAGTCAAGTAATGCTAATGTAAATTAAGTATGCACACACAGGTTCCAGTCACACGCTAATCTGAGGTTTGCTTAATTATTGTCGATTTAAAATTTTGCTTAAAATCAAGACGTGTGGTGTAACCCTAAACCACGTGTTTAACGTGGATGATTAAAAAAATATCTAGAAAATATATTCTGTATTTCTTTTTCATTTCAGAAAAATGGTTGAAGAAAAAAAGTAAGTTAACTTTTTTTTTTTTTTTGTACTTTTAAATATAGTAAATGACACGTAAATTGATTTTCTTCTATATTTTGAAAAGAATCCAACTAAAATTTCTAAATGTATAACTATCTCGGTGTTTAAAACTTGATATAACTTGTGAATATTTTTCTGTTCTAGATTTGAAAAAGTCTTTATAATTTAGCCTAAAATCATATTTAATTCTTTTAAACATTTAAGCTTATCGTATTTAAATATTCTTATTTAAATGATCACTGGTTTTTAACGTTTTTTTTTTTTTTTTTTTTAGGAAACCGACAGGGGCCGAGGGAAAAAAGTAAGTTTATCTTTGATTAATTAATTCCATATTTATCTCCGTGTTTGTTTTTATGATCTTAAGCATATTAATGAATCATTTATTACCAATGTGCAATATTGTAAAACGTATTACCTGATCATTTATTCGAAAAGTTTTGGACCGGAAGTGACATGTGACCTATTTATCTATGACGAAGGGTTAAGATGATGTAAAAAGATAAACAACTTGAGGCTTCTTTACTTATGGATCACTTTTACTTTTCTCTTAATCATTTCCTTTTTATTTTACAGACGATTATTAGTTAAATTTATTGTTAAATGTATTTATGCTTGTACATTTCATTAATCAAGGTGAAACGTTATTTTTAGTAGATATCTGTATTTGAGCAGGCGCTCCATTTATTTTCGTCTACCGGCTTGAATATACTGAATTACGAGTATCCACTAAAAATAGGTAGCTCCACGAAATGTAAACAAAAGAGCATAGCATGATGAAAAAGACGCCAAACTTGATAAAAACAATTTTATCGTCTAATATTATTATTAAGGAGGAATGATCAAAGTATTTTGGGGATATTTTTTTCCATTTTGTTTAAATCGTTCCTAGCACGTCCGAATTTTTCGTTAAAAAATAAAGACAGATAATCCATCATTTTCAATCATTTTTTTTTTCCATTTTATAAAAAAGATGAAAATCTCACTTTGAAATTCTTTTAGATATCAATTATTTTTTTTTAAACTTATTTTAATAAAATCAGAAATTATAATGTTTATTTGAAATATTTTGAACCAAGCTTGACTTAGCTTCTGCGCCAAAAAAATGTAATTTGAAAATAAAACAAAGCAGGTCATAACCTTTTGCGTCACTTGATCTTATTTTTATATTAATCTCAGTTATGGCATTTTTCCATAAATGAAATATGAAAATTAATAAAATGAATGGAAATACAAATAAATGTAAATAAAATTATAGTATTTTATGTACACTTCTGATAACCTTTCATAAGAAAGGTACCTATAAATTAATTAGATACCTTTTTTTATGAAATTTAATCTCATTCTTAGTCTTATTTTAATTTCATTATAATATACTTTTCATAAAGCTGAAAGCTAAGTTAAAAAAAAACTGCGCTGAAAGTTTTTCTTAAAAAAGTTCAGTTAAATCTGAATAACTTCACTTTTTGCATTCCATAGAACAAATTATGATTGTGTAAAAATCCATCAATACGTCATTCAACAACTGTCAAGTGACGTGAAAGATTATGACCTGCTTTGTTTTATTTTCAGATTACATTGGGTAACTCCACTTTTTTCGGCAAAATTTTCGATACCTAACTTTAAAATAAATTTTTAAAAATGAAAAAAACATGCTTGAAGATTTCATTTTAGCTTTAATTGAAAGTTTAATCATTAAATTTATTATTTCCATTAAGGAAACAATTCTGGTGTATTTCAGATAGAAACTATATACATTGGAATGTCAAATTTAATTTTGGAATTTAAAATTTTCTTAATTCCCGCCATTTTCTTAATTTTAAGAAATTTGTAAACAAACACAAATTTATCGATTTTTAAAAAAGTTTCTGACACGTTATTTTAGTAAAATTAGAAAATTTAATGTTAAATTAATCTGATTTAAAAGAAATATTACTTCTAGCATAAAAAAGTAATATACAACCAATTATTAACGATTGGTACTGTTATTTTTATCCAATGAGTGAACGCTTTTTTTTTTTAGTTTTACTGAAAGGGACAAAACTCTTTTTATAATAATGGCAATTTCAGTCTACTGTACATGGAAAGAAGGAACGTATTAAGTAAAAAAAAATACAACATAGAAAATTATTTGAAGAAAAAATTAGCACAACTAAGTTTATTAAACTTTGCAATTTTGAACACGTAAATTTTGTTTCTACTTAATTACTAATTACCACAAGGAAATAGCCTAATACAGAATTTTGCACGATTTTTAAACTATTATAAATTATTACAATTAAAATGTAAAACAAATGAAAAAATTCTTGTAAAATTTAATTATTCATCAGAAAAAATTTATTTCTTCAGGCAATAATGACCTTAATATTACTCTTTTACAAAAGCAATTAAAAGCTTTTCTAATTAAGTAATATCATAGATTTATTGGATTTATTATTTTTCAATTCAGAGCAGTTAGTGTAGGTACCTCCACGAGATCGCTAAAAAAGAGCATAGCATGATAAAAAAGACGCCAAACTTGACGAAAACAAAAAATTTTATCATCTAAATGTTTGTTATTATTAAGAGGAAAGGTCAAAGTATTTTTGGGGTATTTTTTTTTCCATTTTTTAATCGTTCCTAGCACGTCCGAAATTTTCGTTAAAAATCTAGTTTTTTTTTTTTTTTTTGAGTCAGCAAAATTGACCATCATTTTTTTTCCATTTTAAAAAACTGGAAATCTGACTTTGAAATTTTTTTAAATATCAATTATCATTTTTCAAAACTTATTTTAAGAAAATCAGAAATTATAATGTTTATTTAAAATATTTTGAACCAAACTTAACTTAGCTTTTGTGTCAAAAAAATATATATATATGGGAAATATATTGTAAAGAAATTTAAAATAAAACTGTTAAGAGTGACATTAACTTTCATATTTCTTAAGAAAGGTATCTAATTAATTTATAGGTACCTTTCTTATGAAATTTTATCAGAATTGTACATAAAATACTATAATTTTATGTACATTTATTACATTCTACTGTTATTTGTATTTGCATTCATTTTATTATTAATTTTGATATTTCATTTATGGAAAAAATGTCGTAACTGAGATTAATATAAAAATAACATCATATAAATTTCATAAGATGATACTGATACTTGTAGGTACCCTTCTCAGTTGAAATTGAAAAATCAAATTAACTTCTCCACACGTGTTTCCAAAAAGTAAAGGGCTTAACAGCGGAGAACGATTATTAACTCAAAATAGCAACTAAATTATATTCTGGTTGGTCTTCCGTATTTTATAATTACAGCTCGATTATAAGCACAAAATTACATTTCTTAATTACTGGGGATCTTCTGATTAGTCAAAATGATACAATTTACAACAAAAAAAGATCTATCTCATAAGGACATTTATGAAAGCCGATGTGACTTTTAACTAATTTTATAATATTTTAACAACTTAAATGTAAAATCTATTATATTTAATGAAATAACAAATAATTGTATTAAAAATTTTCATCGAAAAAATTTTTTTTTCAGAAAATATTTCCATATTCAAAACAACTAAAAGCAAATAAAAGCATTTGAAATTAAATATCTTTGTTTATTGAGTTTTGTATGTTACAATTCACAGCTGATTTTCAGGTACTGCATATCCAATTAAAAACAAAAAAAAATGATTTGCATTCCTCAAAGCCCTGTGCTTTTAATTATTGTAATCACTAAAACCGATGTGATCGCAAAAAAAAAAAAAACAATGTTATTTTTAACAGCACAAATTAAATAAACAAAAAGAAGACTTTAACTAAAATTTCAAACGTGTTAGAAAATATTAAAAAATTTCAAAAAATAATTAAAAAATACTTTGGTCTTTCACCTTAATAATAACATAAGCATTTTGACGATAAACTTGATTTTCGTTAAGTTTGTGGCATTTTTCATTACGCTATGCTGTTTTCCCGCGAAAAAGTGGAGGTGCCTAGATTACATCTTTTTGATGCAGAAGCTAAGTCAACCTTGGTTCAAAATATTTTAAATAAACATAATTTCTGATTTTCTTAAAATAAGTTTTGAAAAAATAATTGATTTTTGAAAGAATTTCAAAGTGAGATTTTCATTTTTTTTTATAAAATGGATGTCATAATCAATTATCTGTCAATTTTGCTGACTCAAAAAAGATTTTTAACGAAAATTTTGGTCGTGCTCAGAATGATTAAAAAATGTAAAAAAAAATACCTCCAAAATACTTTGATCTTTCCTCTTAATAACATGAACATTTATACGATAAAATTTTGTTTTTGTCAACATGCTATGATCTTTTTTAGCCATCTCATGGAGGTACCTAAAAATAACGTTTATGTAATAAAAATAAAATCTGTTGGGAGTAATAAATAAATTGCTTTGTGTGATTATTAAGCGTCATTAGACTAACAGTAAACAAAACACCTGTTAGGATTGATTTGAATTTAAGAAATAATTTTTATAAATTCTAATATAGCATGTATTTGATCCTGAACATTTTTCCTGTTACCTTTTTCTATGTATCATGTCCATTTAAAAAGTAGATGATCATATCTCTACACTACTTCCTTTACTTTCTCTTAATTCCTGTTTTGTCCATTTATGCAGGCTCAATTTAGGTATGTTCATGAGATCTATAAAAAAAATAGCATACCATGAATAAAAAAGGCCTTAAATTTGATTAAAATAATTTTTTTATCGTATAAATGTTAATGTTATTATCAAGAGGAATGATCAAAGTATTTTTTGAATATTTAAAAAAATTTTAATAATTTCTAGCATGTCCAAAAATTTCATTAAAAATCTTCAATTTTTTTGAATCGGAAAAATCGGCACAAGATCGATAATCTCCCGTTTTTTTAACTTTTGTTTACAAAAGTGAATGTTGCTGTTTAAAATTTATTTAAAAAATCAATTATGATTTTTTTTTTTCCAACTAATTTTAAAAAATTTAGAAATTATAAAGTTTTAGTATATTTTGAATCAAAGATTGCTTATTTTCTGTGATGAAAACATGTTTTTTCAAATGGGAGAAAGCCGGTCTGAACTGCGGTGTTGATTGACAAATGACATGTGCGTGTTTTTCATCATGCACTGACATATTACGTGCAGAAATTTATAGTACGGAAGGTCATAAGTGACAATTTATCTTTACATTAACAACTTATTTACCTCGTTATTTTTAAGTAGTCATAACATTAAAAAACGGTCTTAAACTTGACAAAATCAGAATTTTATTACCAAAATGTTTGTTACTATTAAGGGGAAAGAACAAAGTAATTTTTCATTATTTTTTAAAATTGTTCTGTCTTTATTAGAACGTTTTAACTTTTGATTGAAAAATCTTGTTTCTCGTCATCACCGGAACTTTAGTAAATAACATGGCAAATTTTTTGTTCATTTTTTTTTTCTTATGACACATTAATTTTGAAAATCTTGCAAAAATAGAAATAATTGTCAGATTTTAATGAAACTTTCAGCAATGATGGAAATTATTATAATTTTTTTAAAGTAATTTCATATAAATATAAAGGCCGTTAACAGTGCCGTACAAATCAAGTCACATGATGTTTTTATTGGATCGTGTTTCTTCCGGGTCTCCATATATTTGACTTAAGATTTTTTTTTCTACACATAGGGTAAAGGACAGTAAGATTATTCTCATTGCTGGTTCGTTGATTGTAAAAACCTTGTACTATTTATAATCTGTACAGATACAGGTACCTAAAAAAAAAACATTATATACAGGATTTGTCAGTACCGCTAATTTTAGAATATTTAACAACTTTTAGTAACTTTATGTAAAAATAATAAAATAATTTATTAAATAACAATTCATTTAAAAATTCATTTTTCATCGAAAAAATTTTTTGCCTTCAGACAACATTATGCATATTGATAAAAGCAACTAAAAGCATTTAAAATTAAATAGTATCTTTGTTTTATTGGGTTTTGTATGTTACAATTCAGAGCTGATTTTAGGTTTATGAGCTTGGATTTTTAAAAAAAAGAAAACCTGATTTACTTTCCTCAAAACCTTGTGTTTTTAACTAATATAATGACTTGCGTGCTTTGTCCATAAACTTTTACAGTTTTCTTTAATTCATTTATGGGGGTGGTAATATATGTATAAAAAATATTTTTATAATGACTTTTAAAAAAAATAACATACTTATAATTTCCATCTTTCCTAAATAGTTTCTGAAAGTTTCATTAAAATCTGACAGTTATTTCTATTTTTGCAAGATTTTCAAAATTTGTGTGTAATAAGAAAAAAATGCACAAAAAATTCGCCATGTTATTTCTACTAAATTCCGGTGATGACGAGAAACATTTTTCAATCGAAAGTTAGAATGTTGTAATAAAGACAGAAAATTTTTTAAAAATAATTAAAAATTACTTTGTTCTTTACTCTTAACTCTAGCATAAACATTTTGGCGATAAAGTTTTGTTTTTGTCAAGTTTGACGTCTTTTTCATTAGATTATGCGCTTTTTTTAGCGATCTCGTGAACATACCTACATATGGACCACAAGTGAAGTAATTGAAAAGTAAAATAGCTTTATAGTGCCTGTAAAATATTTAGCTATTAACAATATGTTGATTGTCCAATCTTGTCATGTATAGGAATCTTAAAAGCTAAATGATTAAATTTATTTCAAGTAAAATATTCAGGTGTAATTTCAGATAGAAATTATATAAATTGGAATGTCAAATAATTGCTTGATTATTTTATTTTTTTTTTTTTAAATTTTCTTAAGTGGCCATTTTCTTAGTTTTTAAGTAATTTGTAAACAAATTTATCGGGTTTGAAATTCTTTAAAAAAAATTATAGATTTGTGACACATTATTCGAGTAAATTTAGAAAGTTTAAAGTTAAATAATCTGATTTGAAATAAATATTGCTTAAAAACCAGTATACAAGTATTTCTACAAACCTAGGTGAAGCAAAACATTGCTTCACCTAGGTTTGTCGGGCTCTCCGTTAATTCCCAAAAGCTAAAAGTATTAAAAGGGTTTTTTTTTTTTTTTTTTTTTTGTTCCGCTTTGTTGTCTCAAAAAATGGATATGGTGCTATGATAAGGTTAATATAAGCCACCTACTTCCTGCTAGACATGTGCACATTCATATTGTCACATTGGAATTGAAATACTGCTTATGAAACAAGTGCTTAGTTGCATGAAGATGACAAATCTAATCCAAATTTTTACATCAGTTGAATTTTCTCTATATTCTGCTGAAAAAATGAAATTAATAAAATTCTAATGCTTTTTTTTTTTTTTTTTTTAATCTTCTATAGGCCTGCTGCTACTCCCAAGGCCAAACCAGCTGCAGGTGCTACCCCCAAGGCCAAACCAGGTTCAGCTGCAACTCCTGCAGGTGCTACTTCCAAGGCTAAACCAGGTGCAGCTGCTCCTGCTGCAAGTACTGCTCCCAAGGCCAAAGGAGGTGCAACTGCAACACCAGCTGCCAAGGCTAAAGGGGGTGCGGCTACTGCAGCACCGGCTGCCAAGGCCAAAGGAGGTGCGGCTACTGCAGCACCGGCTGCCAAGGCCAAAGGAGGTGCGGCTACTGCAACAGCTCCCAAGGGCAAAGGAGGCGCAGCTGCTGCAACACCAGCCCCCAAAGTCAAAGGAGGTGCAACTGCTACTCCCACTCCCAAAGCTAAAGCAGCTGCTGGTAAAGACAAACCTGCTACAGCTAAGGACAAAGCTGCCGCTACTGCTGCTAAGGCCAAGCCAGGTGCTGCCAAGGCCAAACCAGCTGCAGCTAAAGATAAAACTGCCAAGGACAAACCTGCTGCAGCCAAGGCCAAACCGACTGCAGGCAAAGCCAAACCTGCTGTAGGTAAGGATAAAGCAACTGCAGTCAAGGATAAGGTGGCTAAAGGCAAACCTGCTGCAACTGCAGCCAAGGCCAAACTGGCTGCAGCCAAGGCTAAATTGGCTGGAGCCAAGGCTAAAACAGCTGCAGGTGCTCCAAAAGGCAAAACAGCTGCAGCTGATGGGACCAAAAGGTGAGTGTAATTTCATGTATACATTTAGTTAGAATAGTTAAATTATAATTATTATTAATTGTAATACATACTTAATGAATGAGAATTTAGTGCATAGTTACTGAAAATATTGTAAACTGTGTGTGTGTGTATATATATATATATACTTGAAGTTCTGTGTATAACTAAAATATTTTTTGTTTTTGTTTTTCAGGACTAAATTAAAGCGGTGAGTTAAAATCATTATTCTTTTCCAAATGTGCATTAAATTTTTTATTTACATATAAATTTTATTATAAACATTTTACTCATTTATATCCTTTTGTTGACAGGCCAGCCTCTGCCAGTGGAGATAAAAGGCAAGTATAGAATTTGATTATTTAAAAAAAAAGACATGAATGTCTGTGCATAGTGAATGTGTTAAGTCATTGTTTAGCTATATATAACTTTTTTGTTAAATCATTGATCTGCACTTTTCTGGGAATCCTATACAGAAAGTAAAGTAATTAAACAACGGAAAGCTTTAAGCTTAAATGTTTCCTCTATACATACTAGTTGAATAAAATTCTGGTTTCTTTTTGGAATAATTTATTGACCATAATAATTTTTAAGCTTAAAAATGTGTTCTCCCAAGTTTTTAGGCTGCTCCACTCCCTGTAAAATCCAACCAGTCAAAAATTTAAGTTAGTCTTTTAAGCTGTGAACTTTTAACTGGACAGTAAATAGTTTAAAATTCCTATGTATATCTTATCCTTTTCACAGCCCTTGTCAGTGCAGAATTTATTTCTGCTCTGCTGTTTCCAAATAAAAATAAAATTTACTATAAAGATGAAGAAAATAAGTCAATTACTAGTAGCTCCTGGTGAGTGGATAAAACAATAACAAAAAAAGTTTCATCAACAAAACTCCAGGGTTGAGTTGCCGAATCAATTAGCTAAGTGACAAATTTTATTTGTATTAATCAAGTAGAAATCAGAAAGGCATATCAGACAGAGCATTGAACATTTGAAACCTAACAATTACAAAAAGTATTTTTTATTTCTAGAGCTGAGGTGCTGAATATAGCGTCAATCAGCTAAGTAACAAATTTTATTTTAATCATAGGCACACACACACACACGGTAACTAAAAGCATTGCAAACATAGTTTTGCTGTTAATTTTTTTTTATAGTTCAAGGCATGTTTTCTTGTGAGGTTTTTTTTTTATAAAAACTTTTTTTTTTAGATTTATTTTTATTGAATAAGTTTTCAATTAAAATATTAGATGTTATGGTCCTTTTTATTGTCATATTACCTTGTTTTTTTAGTGTGTGAGAGAGAGAGACAGTTCTATATAGTGTTGGTTTAACAAATTTACATGAAATTTTTTACAATATTCTTTTTCTAGAACTGGACCTGGAGCTAGCAAGAAAAAGTAAGTGCTAAAATTTAATATTGAATAAGTGAAAAGAAGTTGCCTTGATATGATTACTTACAAATTAATCTGAGAAACTTTAAAGTAAAAATGTGTAGTCGATTATCAGTTTAGAAAGCCGATTGGGTTAAAACTAGTCTACCTCACTTTTTGTAAGTGTAACAATTAAGTATCTGCAAATTCGTTTTTATTATATCTTTTGTTAACTGTTTTTCTCTTAGGTTCTTCCTAAGTTTATTTTAAATGATGTCTGTAAAATATAAATTGGTGGGGCAAATTTATAGAGATGTAGATTTAAAATTGTAATTGTAAACTTTTTTGTTTTTCCAGGAAGATAATCGTCTACCAAAAAAAGTAAGTAAAAATTCTATTGCAATTGTGCTTGTCTCTCCTCTTTCTTAATTAGTATGACTTTTTACACCCTGCAAATAACTCATAAATATGACTATTCTGTTTTGATAGTGTGGAAAGAGGGGAAAAGACATTTGGTTTCAGTGAGAAAGAAAGAAGGGAAGCTACCTCCTGAACAATTTCATTTTAATTGCTTGATTTCAGTGATAGAATGAATGAATGACTGAATGGAAGGAAGAAAGATGTTTAATGGCATTTCAGTGAAATGAAAAAAGTTTTAATTTCAAACTTTTTTATTTGTACACACAATTTAAAAAAAACATGATTGTTACTACCATATATTGTTCAGGTCAAAAATATTTAATGGTGTGAAAGGGGAATTTTTATGGATATTTAGTCATAAAATTTGAGATTATTCAATTAACATAAGATTCTCTAGAATTTAAATAGGAAAATTGAAATTTTCACAGGTTTTTCTAGTGACATTAAGCAGTTGTTTCTGAATACAAGTCTTAACTTTCATGTTTTTCTTTGCAGGAAAGTTAGTAGTGAAGCCAAAAAAGGCACCAAGGATGAGAAAACGTGAGTCTGTTTTTTTTAATTTTTTTTTTTGTTCTTTTTTTAAATAACACTGTTTTATATAAAATATAACACAGAAGATGTGTTTTTATTAGGTGCCATTTTTGTAAAATTTAAGATTGTTGTATGCTCTTAAATAACTTTTCTTTTTTAAAAAAAAAAACGGGGGTTTAAGCTCTTGAATAACTAAAAGTATTTCAATTAATTTTTTTTTTTTTGTTTTAGGGCCACACCCCGGACAATCCCTAAAATTCCTGAATCTGTTTTGAAGAAGAGGAAGCTTAAACAAATGCGTATCACTTCACGTGCAAAGGCTGTTTTGAAGGAAAAGACAGTGAGTAATGTGCATCCTCTTCCATTAACTCAAGCAATTAATAATCACTGCCATATTGCAAGCGTTTAGATTTGTAGCTCTTCAAGTTTTATAGTCATTAATTTGTCGTATTTTAGCTCCGCAAAAAGAAGAGAATGGTGATGTTCAAGAGAGCTGAGAAATATGTCAAGGAATATCGTCAACAGGCACGTGATGAAATCCGTTTGAGACGAATGGCTCGCAGGGCTGGAAACTTCTATGTGCCAGATGAACCTAAAGTTGCATTTATCATGCGTATCAGGGGGTAAGTAGTGGCTTTTGATCAGACTGAAAAGGTTATTTTAATGTGGCTGTCCATAATTATTTTTCAACCTTTAGCATGCTAAATTCTTTCTAGAATTGTTCCAACTGCCTCTGCATTTTTTAAGGGTGCAAAAACATAACACCTACTGTTTTAAAATTATAACTTTTTGCTTTGTATACGAATGAAAGAATGGATAAGTAATATTTTGATGCAATGTATTGTTTTGCATGCTTGTTTTGATGTTGAAAAATTAAACGAAATCAAAAACATGCATTTACAAATACATTATACGTTTATAAATATATTAACAATATAACATTAACTTTTGCTACTCCTTGTGGAGTTTTGGGGCTCAATAAGAAGCGAAATGGGTAAGAGGGTTTTCATTTTGTCAGAAAATGTTAATTTGTCATTTATAAATATACAAATCACTTCCAAAAATGCCATTGGGGTACATTGACAGTCACCAGCAGCTTCCATAAAATTAGTCACCCATGGATGATAGTAATTGCTAGTGGTCATCATTGGTCCCTCCCCCACTGCGCCCCACATCACCATCAATATCCACTTCAATAAAGATGTTGATGTGGACATTTTTTTTTTTACTAAAAATTATGAAAAATTTACATGGGTTTAATTGATATTATACTTTGTGTAGTCTAGAATTTGAAATGGTGTCGAAAAACAGAAATTTAGCCTAGTCCCCAAACTTAAAATACTGGAAATAGCAGTTAACAAGTAATTATATAGCAAATATCTCAAAGTGACGGAATGTGCCTAGAGCTGCAAAGAGAATTCCATGGTGACTGGAAAAAAATTTTTTTATTAGCAGTCACCTGTCATGTTACAAAAGTTGGAAATTCATTGCTAAACTACTTTGTGTATGTGTGTGTTGCCTTAAACTATTTTGGTTACTAATTTTTCTATCCAGTATCAATGGAGTTCACCCTCGCCCTAGAAAGGTGATGCAGTTGTTCCGTCTTCGTCAAATCAATAATGGTGTATTTGTTAAAGTCAACAAAGCCACTCTACACATGATCAAAATTTGTGAACCATATATTACCTGGGGGTGAGTACATAACATTTACATTATTTTGAATTTTTTTACTTTTCTCTTTTATGGGCTTTAGCTATCACGTTTGTTCCAAAAGTATGCTTCCAATTTATTTCCATGGAACCGAGAATGACAAGGAACACACTAACATCATTTGATAAAGCAATTTTTTTTTTTTTTCTTTGCTTTATAAAAACGGTTTTTCTTCATTGGCTGTGCATTTTTACTGGCAATACACAAGAGCTTTCATTTTGTGGGTTGACAGGAAAAATGAAACTTGACTTGTCATACACATTACTGTCACCATTGGTGAATCTCCTTGCCTGTTCTCGCATTTACTATTTGCAGTCCAAATATTCAGCAAGCATCAACAAATAATGGGTGCAATTTGTTCTGCATAGAGCAATTCAATGACGTGTATATATATATATATATATATATATATATATATATATATATATATATAATGTGAATCTTTCATTTAAAATGTTATTTTGCCAGATTGCCACTCGACTGCTTTCTTTATAAAGCCTGGAACAAAATCTGGTTCAACCTAGACCACGATGCCACCACCATCTGCATCTGATGTAGATCAACATACTAAAATAGGTGACGTTTCTTTAGGTGTAACCCTCAAGTACACTTTGCATAAATGCTCAAAAAATTACATTTCCTTTTCCGAGGATGATTTATAAGGGTTGTGAAACCCCTGCTGTAAGTAATATCGATGAAACTAATTTCGGAATGTCAACACAATTTCATTTTTGTTAATCTTTCTTTTTCTTTTTTTTAATTAACAAATATCACACATGTGTTTTGAGTGCAAAATGTGACAAGTTAATTCAACAAAGTAAAGTCAAATGAAAATTTCTGAAAGAAACAAAAAAAAAAAAAAACATGCTTTTACATTGTTTCTTGAACTGGTAATTCTGTGTTATTGTAAATGCAAAAGAAATTTTTTCATGCTTTTTCTTGTAGAGTAATTCCTATGCACTCCAATAATATTGTTCAGTTTGCTTGGCTGTATTTGAAATTGTAGTCTTTTCATTATTTTATAATTTTTCAGTTTGAAAAATTAATGTCTAAGGATGTGAAATCTAAAGAAGACCAAAATGTTTAAAGAAAATTTTACTTTTATCTTGCACTAACATTTTTCTTTGATAAGGCAATGTAAAAAAAAATTCCAATTTAAAGGTTTGTCATTCCAATAGTTGCCCAGACTCTTGTTGTATAGATAAGGGGGGTGGGGTCTAATAAAAACGTATTCATATTTCACACTTAAACTGAGACATTTTTTTTTAATGTGGTATTGTTTGTATGCCAGTGCAACCTATGCCTTATGGCAAGTAATCTAAAAATAATTCCTTTTGTAAATTGAAATCTGGGCATACCCTTGGTCTTACCACTTTAGTTATGTAGACAGGTTTGTGGTAAAACCCTAGACTGGGTAGTGTTCATTGGAAAGTTGTTGCAAAGATACTACTCAGAGCTTGTTTGCAACATGTCTAACAGAGGCGATTTTTATTTTAATGCCCAGAGCTGCATGCTAATCATTACTTTTGAAAAAGTAAAGAAATCTATACTAATTTGTATTTATTTGGAATTTTAATGCATGTAGCTTGTATCCAAGAGAGTAGAATGATCCTTCCAGATATTGTCTGACATGTTAAACTTTACTTCTCATTTAGATAATGATCTTTTATCCCTTGAGCTTTTCAAGAGTCTTATGCATGGGATGTTATCAATGCACTCTTAGGTCATCCAATAATTTAAGGGATTAACTTTAAGGAGGGTGTGGTTTAAAATAATCTTAGTGATGTAAAGTTTACAGATACCTCTAAAAAAAAAAAAAAAAAATTGATAAAATACCACAGTAAGAAATGTCTACCCCCCCCCCTACACACACAATTTCATAGAAATCTGTTTTGCAAGAATTTCTCTTGTTGAAGTGCACATTATTAATTTTCTCAGATATCCTAACTTGAAGAGTGTTAGAGAGCTTATATACAAGAGAGGATATGGAAAGATTGACAAGAAACGTATTCCTTTGACTGACAATGCTCTCATTGAAAAGAAACTTGGTGAGTTCTTTACTTTTGTGTTGTGATAGGTTTGTACCTTTTTTGATTTTAGGGTATCTCATCACTTTCCATTAATTTGTGAGGTTTTAGTACTGAACTTGGTAAAGGACAGCTCTCAAACTGTTTTACAAGATGGTATCATTTTCATAAGTGTTTTTATAGAATATTTTGCAGATCAATTACAATAAAAAATTTTCTTCGTTTTATCGTTATAAATGTACGACATGCAATAAGCAGTCAGTTTAATTCAGTAATCAATTAAAAATATACTGTCTTGCATCATGTTAAATAATATACCAACATCTTTAAATTATTTAAAAAGGCAATGTTAGGTGTGATGTTAATTTACAAATTTATGATGAAATATTCAATATTAAAAAATAGATTGTAATCTTAATCTTGAATATTTTAGAATAAAAGCTTTATGCATAAAGATAAATTAGATAAAGTAGCTATCGATGTAAACTTTAACCAATTTTACAAAACTTGTATATACCTTTAAAATCTTAACATTTTATCAATTGTGAGAAAGTCGAAAACAAATGAAAATAAAAGCAGATTGATTACTTCTCAACACAGCTTCTGTGTGGTCATTTGCTAATAAAACCCATCATAAAATAATTTATGTATCTGTAAGGTTTAAAACATTTAAGCAAGAAGGACATGCCAATTTGCAGTTTTTATATGGTATTGAGATGAAATGCTAAATGTTGACGTTAGATGTACAATTGGTAAACTCCATACTAAAAACATTTGCCAGTACATTTATGGAACATTTTTTTATCACTTATGTGGTATATCAAGTGTTTTAACTGTTTACATGTAGTTAAATTCAATTTTTTTTTCTGAAGAAAAAATAGATTTTGTGTGGCTATATAAACATACCACAGCTTTTAAGAAAGGTTCAATTTGTTAACATTTAGGCACAAAAATGTTCAATCATTTAACATGCAGACTATTTTTTAAATACTTTTAGTGTTATGGAAATGTCATTTATTAAAAGTATTATTTTTTTTTTGTTTATTTAATATGAAAAATAAAATTTTTTAATAGTTTTAAATGTAGAAAGAAATTAGAAATATGTAAAATTTTGTTTGCTTTGAATGCTTAAAAGCATATTTCATTTGTTTATGCCTGTAGATCTTCATATTCAGGCTTGTAAATGAAAGTGTCAAAAAATTTAGTAATATGTTGCTCTTCTTTTTGCAAAAATAATGGTGACTTTGTCAGTTGGCATGGACTCTCTCTACGTGTCTGATGTCAGTCCAGTAGTCCTATATCTCTGGTATACCTTTAAGTAACAGCAGTTGTACTGGTTCCACCTGTTGCAAGCTTTGGAATCAATGCCAGTGGGGGGGGGGTATAGGTTTCCCTAGGGTATTTCTGTAAATGTGATGGTCTCTGCTAAAACTTTCCTTGCCAATAATCACTATATTGTATGCATATCTGCAACATTTTCTATACATGTTAGAATTTAAATGTAGTTATGTGATGTTAACTGTGTGGACACCTTTTCATACATGATAAATCATTTTGTTTTACTTGACCAAACCAATGGCGATGATAAAAAGGGTTTCAACAAGATATGTCATACCTTGAAAGGTGCTCCAGTTTCAGTAGTAATTTTTGAAAACTCTAGCAGAAAACATTGTACACCATTCAGGTGACATCACCAGCTTCCTGACAAGCTTAGTCAATGGCTTCATTCAGTTTTTCTCCATAAACTTGACTATACAGAGGAGCAGAATATTTCTATGGTACCAGTCATGATGCAATAGCAATGCTCTGTGGCTTTGATGAAGCACTAAATGAATGCTGTGCTGTCAATGATTGTACCCTTATTAACTGATGACTATGGAATTCCATAGAAAACATACAGTGCCTTGAGTAATGGGTCTTGTCGTGCATGTCATGAATTAGGATTGTGATTTCATGCAACATTCCCTTTTGTTTGATGACTTCTATCCTTCTCTGTTATCAGTGGATATGTTCTAGTATGACATCTGCACACTCATGATGCTACAGATGTCTATGCAGGTGACCTATATTTCTGGTATACCTTTTAGTGAGTAAAATCTACATGTCTTTACTATGTCTTTGTGGCACCAAACATCATTCCACAGGCAAATAGCATTGAATCTTGCTACAGTGCCTCTACCTATTGTATTGCACATGTAATATCTGACTGAATCCATTTCTTTAAGTGTAGAGGTTGAAACTGTCTTTTTGTTGTATAGTCTCTAATTTTTGGACCTATCAGTTTATGCCAGTTAACCATTTTCTTATTGTGAAATGTAACCTACTTTGTTGTCACAAATATTGTATGTAGTTGATAGTTGTGTGTACAATGGCTGATAGTAAAAATTAAAGTGTTTTGCTTCATCTGTTTTATGAAATTATAAAGGTACACTGACTTGATTTTGAACCAAATCTCAAATTATGCTTTTTGTCTCTCAGTTCAATATCTTTCTATGCAGTTTCTTAATTTGACATTGTCCTCTTCTGTTTGTCTCATATGTAGAAATTTTTTTTTTTTTTTCATTCAAATGTAAATTGTTATTTTGAGTCATTTATTCTGTCAAAATCTAACTAATAGTTTTTCATACTTATAAATATGGATTAACTTTATTAAGTTTCAAACTTGTAAGATGCAAAGAACTGATTTAGTTTTGTTCTTTTAAAAGCAAAGTATACAATTACCAATTGGGGGTTAACATAGATTGGATCTATGACCAAATAATCTTGTTCTATTTGACTTTATGAATATTTATTTTTGTCCCAGGGCGGTTTGGTATCATCTGTATGGAGGACTTGATCCATGAGATCTACACTGCAGGCAAGCAGTTCAAACATGCCTCAAACTTCCTCTGGCCCTTCAAGCTGAGCACCCCGCGTGGTGGCTGGGTACGCAAATACAATCACTACAATGATGGTGGTGATTTTGGCAATAGAGAAGAAAAAATTAATGCTCTCCTCAGAAAGATGGTATAAATTGGGTTCAGTGACAATAAATACCAGCATAAACTGTGAATGATGTAATTTTGTTATTTTTTTGCATTCTTTATTGGCAAAAAGTTTAATTTGTTTATTACAAGCTCTTTAAACAAACGAAAAATAAGGAAATTCAAGATTAGAATTTTTTTCCCCAATGAATTTAAAAAAAAAATCTTTTTAAATTCAAGTATATTATGACTTTATTTTTCATCTTCAATCAAAAAAATGTCCAATATTTTAAGCTCTCATCTTATGTGAAATATTTGTTTTTTGAGCTTGTCAATTACAAGGAATGTCGAATATGTATGCATGGCCACCTTTTTAAAAAAATTTATTTTAAGTTTTTTTTTTTTTTTTTTTTTTTTTTTTTTAACTTAAGCACTGACAAATGTTTTACATTTGATTCTGCTGGGGCTTCTATAAAATTCTAAGAAAAATATCTCTGCTATGTCAAAAAGATGAAAAATGCATACATTTTTGATATTTTTTGTGAAGATTTCATTGTAGAATCTATTGTAGCCATTTCAAGAAATCTGTTTTAACATGCAGTATGTTTCATGAAATGACACCAGTGGTTTCAAAATGATGTGGACTGAAATTTTTGCCATGAAAACTTGTTTTCAATATGCAAATAGAAAAAAATAACCAATTATTGAACATTCAAAATTGTTTTGCTTCATGAAAAGCCTAAAAATATTGTAATCATTACCAAGTTTTACTTCAAATGGTTGTTTACTTATGGTTAAGTATGTGCATATATAAATGGTACCTGTGTGTAGGTGTGTGTACATTCTACTTGGTTGGTAGATATATATATATATATTAAACGCGTGTACAGAACCCAGTTTATCGAGACCCAGAGTTTAAAGTGAGGACTGGACAAGAGATAAGTGCTTGCCTCAGTTGTGTTTAAGGGATGGTAATGTATTAAGTAGGTTTTTCCAATATTTTGTTACCCTGAGCTTGGAAAAAGGTTTGCAAAAAACAAAAGTTAATTTTTGTACAAATGGATTTCTCAAATCGGTCTACAAAATCAATTTGATAAATATTTTTGATTTTAGTAATTGGTTAAATCAAACTTGAAA